AGAGGGCGGGAAAGGGTGCAAATCGAAGCTTGCCCCATCAATTCTCAAGCCCAATCGAAGGCTATTCACGCCCACTCCCTAGCTCAATCGAAAGAATTGGAGAAGGTGCAAATCGAAGCTTGCCCATGTCAATCCTCAAGCCCAATCGAAATAAGGCCAAAGAAGGGTGAATCGAAGGAGTCCGTGGCATGGATCGAAGAATTCTTTTCTCTTCTTTATTTTTACTTTTTACTTGTATTTCAATTTGGTTGTAATAGCGTAGGACCTCTATTTTATCCATTTTTACTACTTTTCATATTAACTGCTAGTAACTAGGCGTGTATGAAAAGACTAATAATCAAACGTTAACAAACTTAACAAAAAGACAAAAAAATAATTGAACATAACACACTTGCACATATGCACCTCTAAGGTACGCCCGCTTTGGTTGCCTTCAATAAAAAAGTCATGGGGCAGGAATGCTTTAGCAAAGATCCATAAATCAAAAGATCATAGTCCCTCGATGACCCTACAGTTGGCTTCTCGGTAAATTATCTAGTCCCTAAAACAGAATTGCTAAAGCATCTCCATAAGTTGCCTTCGTAACTGTAACTTCCCTCCAATTGTCCCTCGAAACATCCAACGAAAAGGCTACCTACTCACTAATAGTAGGATAACATTGTCTAAAGGAAAAGAGGAAAATAACAACCTTTTCGAGTACAAAATTAGATAGCTGTTAGAAGTTTGCTCAAACATTTTTGCACTTACACAGATAACTACTTAACAAAAACAATTTCAAAACACTTTGTATATTTTCTCCACTATCGCGAGGAACATTACAAAGTTCGCCGTACTAAGGTGTTTTCAAAACATTTTCAAACACACAAAGCACAAAGGTATTTCAAAATAAGCAAACCTATAAGAGCCCGTGGAAAACCACGGATGGAAAGGGTGTTACACCTTCCCTTTCCATAATTTACCCCCCTTACTCAGAAAACTCTCGAAAAGGTATTTTTCTGTTCTTTTCGCCATTTCCTTTGTTGGATAAAAGAAAAGACTGTGGCGACTCTTTCTTATCGCATATTTGTGAATAAAAAACGTAAAACTAGTATTAATAGTCGGTTCTACCACTGTATCACAGAACTGGCGACTCTGCTGGGGATAAGAAAAGTGGGGTTACCTTAGAGTTAGTTCATTTTTTAATATGCTTTACATTGTGTGTTTTGTTTGCTTTATCTTTGAGGGTTGCTTGGGTTGTTACTAAAATATCCTTCACCCGGATCTGGGGCACCTTATTAGGTAAGTAGCAATAAATCATGGAGGTTGTACGGTGTAGACCGATACGGACAAAGTGGTGGCTACGTTAGCGCGATACTTTGGATTGTACTAATGTTCTTTGAGTAAGTTAAGGATAACATTAGGCTTCCTCGTAGTGTCACTAAGCGTTAACTAACCTTTAGAACCTTTAATTGACTCATCCTAGCCATTAGTAAGTAGTAAGATAACCAACTTTGGTTCTGACCGAAGATTGGTTGATACTCGATACTACACTCATTGAGGTTGGACTTTCAGCATTTTTTGGCAACAATACTTCGGTGCGGAGCTAAAACAATTTCTGAAGGGAAGGTCAGTGATATTGAGGCTCCTTAGAACCCAGTTACTATTTCTAGGAAAGGTTGAGCTAACTAAACTTCAAGAGGGTACTTACCTATAAACTCCATGCAATCCTAAACCTAAGGCTTCTTGTGTGACTTGTTTGCTTTCAACTTGAACTACTTGCAGGATTTTTATCTAACGACGTGATTTCCCTTGGAGGATTTGTTTACAGTCATTATCCAATAAACCGGTTTTCTTGTAAGACATACTTGTCTTCATCATGCCATAATATTTCCTTAACCATTTCAAGGATCTCAAGGGTCTACGATGCAGGTTATGATGAACCAGGCGTCTAGCAAGGGGCAAGGGAATTTATTTTCCTCTAGCTAATGCCATCAAAAGACCAAAGCGACAACTCCAGTCAGGGGCTATGACCCACTTGATATGGTGAGCTTGACTCTTATAGAAGGACCTTCAACGATAAGAAGTGCTTCAATCAAAGCTGTAAAGTTCAACGCCTAACATTTTTCTTGTTTACCCCGCGATATCCTTGAAAACATTTACATATCATACATGTCATTGCATAACAGGTAGTCTCCGGTATGGGTCTCTCATGTTCTCGCTGTTTATTTCATCAATGGATCTCAAACAAGACAACAGAGATCTCCAAACTCAAGAGGCTCAGTTCATGGAAATGTTCTTCAACCTATCTAAGGGGCAAGAAGAATTGAAAGCACTTCTCAACGGGAACCTGACCAAGAAACATCCTGACAACAACAAAGACGAACAATTGAAACAATTGTAAGCTGAGGTAGAAGCAATGAGAATCCAGATGCTGGGGCAGGTGGCTCTTATCCAAGGCCTAGCCCGGGGACAAGAAGAGCTGAGGGCCATTGTCAACAAGCTTCATCAAGACGGATGCAATCGTATGAAGCAAACAGTCGAGGCTGGGGATCAAGTTATTCATCAACCCCTGATGGGACAAAAAGTTGGATTGAAGAATAGACCTTTCCAAATTGCTTCTACGTCGCAAGCCCAACAACAACCTTGCCAACCACAACAGGGTAATCAGCAAAGGCAAGACAAGCCCAAAAGGCAATTCACCAAAATTAACATGTCCTTGGCTCAAGTATTGCAACACATGTTGAAGATGGAGTTGATTACGTTAAGGGATCCTCATCCAAACCCCAAAACTTCTTCCCCTAACTACAATCCTGATCCAATATACGCCTACCATTCTGATAGTCCTAGACATGATACGAATGACTGATGGTCCTTCGATCCTGCGCGCGCGGGGTCTTTTCAGGCTATATCTGTAACAAGTGTTACCAACAAAACAAATATAGACCTGGGTGTCGAACTCAGGTCCTTTGATTCCATCTCTAATTCGGATCTGGAGTTATTTCGTCCTGCAATACCTAGAATCTTGAGATTCGAAGGAACCAAATTCACGTGTCCTAACAATGGCAGGTCTGTGAGGACTATAATCTGTCTAACGCTTCATTGCAAACTTGCACAAACACATCGAAAGGAATAAATGCGCTTAGATTAAGAAAATGAATTTCAGAATTATACCCATGGCCGGTATGCTTCGGTCTACAGCTTTAGGTGTGGAGATGTTGAAGGGTTTCTTTGGCTTGGATTACATATGAAAATTTTGACAGCCTTTGGTGGGTTTGTGGGCAGCGTATCTCTAATCTCTTCTTTTTGGATTGTAAGCATGCTGCTTATATAATGTAACCTTGGCCAAAGTTAAGAGATTTTGTCCATTTTTGAATTTGGCATAAATGTGGACATACTGGCCTTTGAATGCTCTCTTTCGAATGGGTTGATGGCCTCCTTCGAAAGGCCCTAATTCAGCTCCTTCGAACGGCTCTAATTCATTTCCTTAGAATGAGTATGATTCAATTCATTCGAATGGTTCTGGGTTCTGATTCGAAGTGTTCAGAACTTCCCTCTGCCTTAGTATGCGAATTGAAGGACACTTCGCTCTGATGTTCCAATTGAAGGAAGCTTTAATGCTCCAAATCGAAAGAAGCTTTGATGCTCCAAATCAAAGGAAACTCTGATGCTCTAATCGAAAGAACCTCTGATGCTCCAATCGAAGGAAGTTCTGATGCTCCAAGTCGAAGGAAGTTCTGATGCTCCAAATCGAAGGAAGCTCTGATGCTCCAGTTGAAGGAACCTCTAATGCCCCAATCGAAGGAACCTTTTAGGAATGTCAATCGAAGGATCCTGTTGCAAGGCCAATCGAAAGGCTTTGCTGAAATGCCAATCGAAGGGCATTTTGGAGATGCCGATCGAAGGGAACTTGAAAACACTACTCATAAATTTTCCTTTTCCTTAGGCAAGGGTTTGTGACCAAACATGTACGGGAAGACCTTGGAAAACATGAGAGGGCAAACTTTGGGGTACAACAACCTTCAGCACCAGACGCTCCTGTAAGAAGCAAAAACAAATTATTATACATCAAATCTTGTAAGCAAAAATAAAAATTATGCAATTAAACAAAACCAAAAATATAGACCTCGCCTTGCCATATCCTATAAGAGACATGGTCCACAAATCTTGTCAGCACGAACTTATCTAAAGATCCTTCAGGGAAATCTCCATCAATGTGTACTGATGGTTCTGTAGACGCATGAGTCGTGGTATCTATATTAGTGGGGGACACCTCATCAACTCGTTCAGCAACAACCCTCCTACTCAGGTTCCTGCACCACAAGCTCCACAATGTGCTCCTCAACTACTGGCTCCATAATAAGAGCGAGAGCCTGCACCTCCTCAGTAGGAGCTTGTACCTCCGTCGTAGGAGCATGTACCTCAGTAGTAGGAGCTTGTACCTCCGCAGTGGATACTCTATGACTCTGACGATGGGATGCACATTCTGCTCAGTCATCCGTTTCTGGTGAGAATTGGTCGGAAGATGACATCCAACCCGTAGCTCTGAAGCATGCGCCTCATCAGCACGGGCTTCAGCATCAACTCTATCAGTGGTCTGTCTCGTAATAGAACCATCTCTGCCTCTGGTCCTCACTGAAAAATTAGAAAATATCAGGAAAATATAAAATACCAAAAATTTCTAAATTTTCGGTAATTATTCAAAAAAAATTGAACTACCAGAAATTTCAAAATTTCTGGTATTATGTGACGCACTGGAAATTTTGAAATTTTCGGTATAAATGATAAATGAAAATACCAGATATTTCGAAACTTCCGATACGAAAATACCGGATATTTTGAAATTTCTGATACAGAGTACCGAAAATTTCACAAAAATACCGTAAATTACTCACTATTTCGCAAATTTTCCGGTATCGCCTACGAAATTTCCGGTATCGCCCAAAGATTTTGAAAATCTGGTTGTCAACGTGAATTTGAAACATGTGGTGAATGATTTGAGTCTGGGAAATTTGATCTTTTCATACTATTTGAGGGATACCGTGTATAATGTGAGGGGTGACAAGTTAATTTCTCGAACACGTTGCACCTATAAATTCACTAAACAAAACACACCATTCGATTTGTTCATCGTTGCAGATCTTCTATGCAGAAGCTTTCTTCATTTTTCAAGAATTTCAAGATTGGCGACTACAACGATCACAACGATTCTACACCATTTTTCTTCAATCACATGCAGAAAATCGAAGAATAAAATAGAAATTGTGATTTTACTATTGGTGAATCTTAACCTCAGATTCGTTGGAAAATCTTTATCGTTTGAATCAAGAGGTAGAGATAGAAGAGAAATTGCAGAAAGTGGCTAAAGAAACATTGGAATCAGTGAATCTCAAAAAAATTTCATCAGACAAGATCCAATTTCTTCAAAATTGGAATCAGTGAGTCAAGTTTTGTCATCAATTTGGAGGTAATGAAGTCTCATTTCTCGACTGTTTCACTTTCAATTGCAAATTATTTTAGATATTTGGATCACCACTGTCACTTTATTACTGTATTTGATCTCGGGGATATTTTGATGTTCCTCACCAAGATGCAAGTTCCATTCTTAAAAAATCCAGCTATTTGGATCATAATATTCAATCCTGGTGGAGCTTCGACATTAGAGGACAGAGCTTTTCTCGCGCAGTTGTTTTCAGATCGATCTCAAGAGGTTTCAAATTTCTTCTGCCGTCACCATATTTGTGATGTCATTCACGATTTAATTGCAGTATCGAGACTCCTTAATGGATTCACGAATAAAATAAAAAAGGTGTTTTCATAGAGATGTTGGTCAGCGTCGAAACTCCTAGCGGTAACATCAGATGCGATATGTGGAATCCCTGACAATGTCTTATGCCATTGGGGTTAAGGTGTTTGTGAAAATGCTTCACTGAAGGTCACCTCAGTACAAAGAGAGTTGGTGAAGCTGCTGCAACACTCATTTTCTCTACAAATATGATGGAGGGGCTAGTAATTTGGAAGTTTCAAGTCGAAGTTCATGCAAGAACAAGATTACTATGTACCTTGGAGAAATTTCAATTTGCAGCAAGTTAGACTCTTCAATTTCAATTCATCTTGTTTTTTGTCATGGATTTTAACCGATAAGTTAGAGTTTGGATTTATAACTAAAATTATATTTTAATCAAATTTGATTAAAATATGGTTTTAGTTATAAATCCAAATTATTTAAATGGTTTGAAAATAATTATGGTTTGGTTTATTAAAAATAACCAAATATCCACACCCCTATATATAGTAAAGAGATAAACAGAAACACCATTAGATTGAATCATAAGAAATCAATAATATCATATGATTATTCATTAAAATCCAAAGCAAATTAACTAACACAATTATAAACCAAATTTACAAACACATGGCTTTGCTAGTTCATATAAACACAATAATTTCATCCACCATAAGATAAAATCTCAATACTTAATCAAATATAAAACTAACTTAACAACTAATTCAAACCACTATCTCCACTTCTCCACCATGATAATTCTTTCCATCATAACAATCCCCCACAGCAACATTTTGCACAGTCTTGTAACTATACTTTCTAGCAAAGAACACAAACACAAACATGTTCAATGTAGTTATCCCTCCAAGTAGCCAATAAAATTTATCCAACCTACTAGCATTCAAATTTGCACCAAACCAACTTTTCCCATTTTTTATTGTCACATGAGTCACAATTGTTATCAACCAACCACATAGAAAATTAGCAGCTCCAACAACACTCAAGTAAAGTCCAATCCCAAAGCTTCTCATTGAATCAGGAACTTGATCATAGAAATATTCTTGTAAACCGACGAGCGTAAAACCGTCGGCGAAACCGATGATCAAAAACTGAGGCGCAAGCCAGAAAACACTCATTGATTGTGAGCCTTTTGATGGATTCGCCTCGATGATTTTAAGTCTTTTTTTCTCTACCAATGCGGCTACTATCATTGTTATGATTGAGAAAACCATTCCGAAACCGATTCTTTGAAGAATGTTCATGCCTCGTTCGTTACCGGTTATTTTTCTTAGGATTGGCACGAGGAATTTGTCGTAGAGTGCGACGGAAATTATCATACCGATGGCGGAAATAGTGAAAATTGAAGCGGGTGGAAACTCGAAACTATGTCCTAGTTTTCTATCCATTATTTGACCTTGTTTGAGGAAAAAAGTTTGTGTTTGTGCAGCACACATTCCAAATGGTAAGGTAAATATCCAAATTGGAATCATGTTGATCATAAGCTTCACTTCTTCAACTTTTGTCACTGTTGCAATCCTCCATGGACTTTGTTCCTTTGCTAAGTTTCCTCCATTTTCAACTATTGCTGCCTTGTCAAAAAATCTAGAAAAAAAAAGTGATTGTATCATGATCTTTGATATTAAAAATAATGGTCAAATGCCATTAGGATCACCAATATAGTACAAAAGACGTGATTAAAATGTTGATGTTACAAATGACATTCTCGACTATAGTTGGTAAAATTCTAGTATACAATAATATCATAGTCGTCTTTGAGGACGTGTATGATCTACCACTACACATAATTTAAAATTTGTCACAATTAAAATATAGTTAAATTAAATCTCATATAAAAATATTATCACAGTTAAATCGTGGTTAACTAAAATCTCTATTTATTTTCTTATGATTAAACAACGACAGACATACATAAACCTACAAAAACTTAAACTTAAGACGGTTTTGAATAATACTTACTTGAGTTTCTTGGTATGAGCCAAAAATCTTTCATTATTGCCCTCAACTTTTGAAACTTCATACAATTGACTTGGACTAGAAGGATAAGGAAGCTTTCTTTTAGAGATTGCAGCAACAATAACTTGAAACATTGGAGCCAAAATACTTCCATTTGGGGTCCTATAACGATAGATTTTCCTTCCAATCACAAAAATAATCAATGAGAAAGTCATAACACCTAGGAGAATAATATCAGCAGCACCCCAACTCACGTGATCTTGTACATAACCAATAAGGGTTACTCCAAGAATGAGTCCACTACATAGTCCACAATTCCACCAATTGAAAAATGACATTTTTTGTCTTCTTTCTTGAATGTGATCATCATCAAATTGATCAGCTCCAAAACTTTCTAGAGCTGGTTTGTGTCCTCCTGTTCCTATTGAGATTAGGTATATGGCTAGGAAGAAGAAGACTTCATGAATCTTTCTTGATTTGGTGCATGTGGTTGTATGGGCACATGGCTTTAAACTTGGTAAGAACCATGATAGAATGAGTAGCGCCAAACCCTGTTTTATTCAACAAAACAAGTGTTATCACTTGTAAGAATAAAAATTAATTGAATAACTAATATATTTTATTTAGAATGGAAAAATAGGCGGACCAACAGATTTGACTTGCTTGTTAAGTCCGTAATGTTTGTTTGGTTGAGACAAAATTTCTAGTTCGCCTTTCTCTACTATTTTCGTCCTAATTTTTTATGGGTATTGTTGAGCATGAGCTTAAACCGTTTGTCACTCTTAAGTTTTTTAGGATGGTAAAATGGGTAGAGTCCATCGGACGCGTTCGCTTAACCCTCTATTTTTAATTGGTTGATGCAAGGTTTTTGATTCACCTCCTAATCTACCCATCCTGTCTTTTTGGCGGGCTTTGGCGAGTGCGAGCATAAACAAAATGAGCATGACTGTTTGTCAAAGTTAAGCTTTAGGGTGACAAAATGAGTTCAATCCATCGAACAAGCCCGTTTAACCCTCCATTTCTGATTTGGCCGAAGCAAGATTTTTTGTTCTCCTTCTTTACTCTGTTTGTCTTGTTTTTTGTTGGGCTTTTGCGAGCGCATGACTAAACAACACGAACACAACCATTTGTCACAATTAATTTTTGAAATGAAAAAATAGATCGAACGCGTCGGATACGCCCGTTTAACCCTCTATTTTTTACGGTTGAAATTAAATTTTTGACCTGTCTCTTTATTTTGTCATTGTCAGTCCATTTTGACATTTTGACATTTTGACATGCGGTTTGTAATCTCTAATATAGTCTATATATAATTTAAATATGTAAACAAGAAACATTAAGATTAATGTTGTAGTTGAATGGTTTGAATAAGATTATTACCATGAGATAAATAATGCATGATCCAATGACAGTGTTGTATCGTCCCAAATATGAATCAGCAAAGAATCCACCAAAAAGTGGCATCAAAGTAGTAACTCCAGCCCAGTAATTCACATTCTTAACTGCTGTTGTAAGATCTTGATGCAAAACTTTTGCCAAGTACATCCCCAAATTAGTTGCTATTCCAAAGTAGCTCAACCTCTCACTAAACTCAATTGCTGTAAAAAAAATAAAAAAAAATCAACTTTTAAGAAATAAATTACATTTTTCAAAATTATCAAACTCATAATTTAATTAATTAATTTTTTCCACTATATGCTTAGCTTTATCCCATTATAACATATGATTTATTAACATCTAAAAATGAATATATGTAGGTTGTATAGCTAGTGGGATTAACTGTGAGTTCTTAATCATTTCAGGCTATGGATTTTGTTTTTAATTCTTAAGTGTAAATATTTATTATATCTACCTATCTCATTATTTATATTGGCTCATAATTACTAAGTTTTCTTTTGATTTGAAATTATTCAGTTTTGTAAATAAAAAACAAAAGGTATATATTCTATCGCCTAAACCTAGTCTGGATGTTTTCAGAAAAAGAAAAGAAAATCCTATTTATGGATGTTGGCCACGTGAAATAATATTTATTATTGAGCGATATTAGAAAAATTGAATAACTTTTTATCATTTTCAGATGATGCATAAAAGTGGTAAATACTTACTTTAAAAAAGCATAAAGATTGGAAATTTTATATATTCAAAGAAAAAAAATCATCAATATCACTATTATTAATAATTATTTCTCCTTTTTCATTTTCAAAAAAAAAATTAAACACATTAAATTAGTATTTTTGTAACAAGAAAAAAATATTATTTTTAAAAGAGAAAAATAAATTAAAAAATAAATTTATTAAATATTTTTTAATAGAAAAAATATTATTATATGTAGTTGCAATCACATTTCGGAAAATTATCATATTTATTTTTAAATCTAATCAAGATTGAACAATTCCAAAATTTTAGATTTGTGAATGCATGAACACAAACCGCAATAGCTTTCTTAAATAATAATGCAAAAATGATAATCTCAAATTCATGCTTTTTATATGATAAAAAAAAAACAATAAAGTGAAAAAATATATTATTAATTACAGTTAGCTAAACTAATAATGCAGCACTGCAAGAATTTTTTGTCTGTATAATAGCCAAAATGAAATTCAAGAGAGCTTAATTAACAAGTGATCAATGATAATTATGTATGGTTATGCATAAACTTTAGGCTAAAAGATATATGCATGAAATTAATTATAAAAGTAATTCTTACCAATAATGAAAAAAGCAGATTTCCAAGAACCAGTTGAAGATCGAAGAGGAATTTTTCCATGATAATCCAAAGAAGAATCATGAACAAATTTCATCTCATCATCATCATGATTGTTCTTCTTCATCTTCCAATTGAAGCTAAGTAGTGGTAGCAAGAATACTAGCTAGCTGTTATTTGATGAAGTATTCTTAAATTAAGAGATATAGGAACTAGTTGAGGATATTGAATTGACAAAATAGATACACCTTATATAGAGAATGAGATTTGCCTTTTTGGCCCACTTGCTATCACTATTTTTTATTTTAAATAAAATAAAAAATTGACTTTGCAAGAAATGAAATACACAATTTTTAATATAAAGTTTTTATTTTTATGTATTTTAAATGTGTTCTAAATGTGTTCTAGAGGCTATGTTAGAATTAGTAAAAATAAAATAAAAAAGGAAAATTTTATTAAAAAAATAAAATAATTGAATTTTTTTAATGAACTACAATGATTTTTTTATTTTTTTAACTCTAAGATTAGAATCTTCCAACTTAATTAATTAAAACCGATGCCACTTATTTTTTAAAATAATTATAATAGATAAAAAGTGTGAAAATTATAATAGATAAAAAATAATAGATATAGAGATAAAAATATAATATTTACTAGTATATTATTAAGTTCAAATGATACAATTGATAAAATAATCTAATATAGAAAGAGGTCTGTGAATTTATCAATATAAAAAACTAATTTGAAAGGTATGTAATAATTTTATTTTGACTTTTTTCATATCTAATTTAAAAGGCAAATCTAATATTAAATAATTAATAAAAATTGAAAAATATACACTGCAAAAAAAAAATATTATTTATTAGGGGCTTAACCCCTCACAAATGACAAAAACCCCTCACAAAGAGGAAATTTGGAGGGGCCTGGTCTCCTAGCAAAATAGGGGGTCACAAATTTATTTGCGAGGGGCCTTACACGTGGGTATTTTGTCAGGGGTTAAACCCCTGCTAAATGCAACTTGTTTTTTTACAGCCTGCAACGTTCAGGCGCAGGCGCAGGCTATGGCAGCAAATTGGGTTAGAAAATTTGCTTGGGGTAAAGCCTGTGGCAAAACATAAAGGCTTTATCATTTCCGAGGGGATAATCCTTTGGAAAATTGTTAAAATATTTATAAAAAAATTAATATTAATAAATTAAAAATCAGTAATGATAATTTTATAAATTATATTATTATAATAAAATTAATATAATAAATATAATAATTAAAATTCAATCAAACATAATAAAAATTAAAATAAAACTTCATACAAATTACAATAAAATAAAATTCTTAAGTTCAAAATAGTTAACATAAATTATTTCATACAAATTAAAATAAACATGAAATTTTCAAATTTAAATATTTTATTCTTGTTCATCTTGTTCTTCTCCTTCCTCTTCTTCTTCAACAATTCCTCCATGTCCATTAGTTTCTCCAAATCCACCACCGGAATTTTGTGAAGTAAAAAATTGATTAAATCTTTGAACCCGCTCATTTGCAATCCGCATTGCTTCTTGATACTCTTGTGTTTGCCTCCTCATTTCTCCCCGTAACTCTGTTTCTCTTCTCTGCATTTCTTGTTGCATCTCTAATTATTTTTTCTTCATCTCTTCAATTTCTGCATTTCTTGCTGCTACTTGGATTGCTGCCTCAGTATTCGCCAAGTTTCTCACATTTTCAAGCATTTTGGCGGTTAATATAGGTGGAGTTAATGTTCCTTCTCCATCGGCAAGTCTCATTTTAAAACTCTTATCACGCTGCTTGATAGTTTTGACGTACCCTCCAGCACCATATACTCTTCCATTTTTCTTCTTTCCACCCGAAACATCATACCATGTCCAAAAATCCACAACATGATCAATAGGATATCCCGGTGGTGGTTCAAGTTTAGGATGCTCTGACAACTGTAGAGAAAATTGTCTATCAAACTCCTCCTATAAAAAAATTAATTATTATAACATTTCAAATAAGTTAGGTCCATATAAAAGAATTAAATAAAATATTTTTAATATAAGAAAAACTTACTTGAGTGTTTCTTGCACGCTCGTCAACAAACTCTCTGTTTCTCTTGAGATGAGTCTCTAGATGGAGCTCATTAAGAAGTGGAGTTCTACTCAACTCTTCATGTTAATTGAATAAGTAAAAAAATAAGTAGTTATATGTAATCTAAAATATAAATGATAAATTAATCAAAAAATAATTAAATTTACGTACCATCCTTCGTGCAACTTTAGCAACACTAATACTACTCGCTGTGTAGTTGCAGCCACCAGCTTCAGATGCTCTATTTTTCTTTGCATTTTCAGATATTTTCTTAAATTTTTCAGAATTCTAATGGGAAATAAGTTCTTGAAATACTTCTACTCCTATCCAACATGGACGTTGCTTTTTTTTCTCATTTAATTCTAACATTTCTCATGGTGTCTGAAAATCGGGCACTATATTTTGAGTGAAAATTTTCTTCAATTTGGACGTTATCTCTAACATCCCAACAACACTTCTCTTACATTGTTGTATGAATTCAAAATTAAGCAATAAAGAATCATGAATATTTCAAAAAATATAAAGGAAAGATATTTCAAAAAATATAAAGGAAAAAATATACCTTAAATGCATTAAACCAATCTTTTCTGTCATCTTCAAGTACAGCTCCATAACTCGGTCAAAATTTTGTATACTTCTCTTTAATAATGCTTGTTATGATCGATATTGCTTGATGGGGCAAGGTCCTAAACACCAAAATCTTGAGTTAGAATTGATTAGATAAAACTCAAATTTAAAATAATATAAAATATATATAAACACTTACGATCCAGAGTCGGGCCAAATGACAAGTTTGTCATGATAATATCTAACTTTTTGCGGCTCATTTCTCCTCAAGATGTGCTCCCTCCTTGTTTTCTCCTCAGGAGCACTTGTATCTTCTTGAGCACTGTTTCTCCAGGAGCACTACTAGTATCTCCAAGAGCACTGGAATCTCCGGGAGCACTGGTATCTCCATGATCATCCTCATAAGGCATGGGTCGGGGCATGCTAGATCCACTTAGCTCCATATGAATGGGACCACTCAACTGCATAGAAGACATAGGAAAATATATATCGGGTCCAGTAGGAAAATATGGTGTGTATCCAGTAGGACTAATAAAAGCTGTCGGGAATATGGGCGGGAATGGTGTGCGTCTAGGAGGTGTGGATAGTAATCCAGTGAAAGACTCGGACATAGGCTAAGTAGTATGCATAGGAAGTGGAGTAGGATGCATAAGAGGTGGATAATTATGCATAGGAGGTGGAGTAAGATGCATAAGAGGTATGGTAGAATGTGGAGGATGATTTGACACTTGACTCGATTGTGGCATAGGAATAAACAAATCTGAATCAGGCACCTCCTCTATAATGTACCTGCTGCGGCGAGGCTTTTGTTGGGAGACATTTTTCTTGAGTGGCATTTTTTTCTATTTGAAAGAAAAATATTAAACAATTAATGTTACATAAAAGATAATATTACACAAGATAATATATATATATATATATATATATATATATATATATATATATATATATATATATATATATATATATATATATATATATATATATATATATATATATATATATATATATATATATATATATATATATATATATATATATATATATATATATATATATATATATATATATATATATATATATATATATATATATATATATATATATATATATATATATATATATATATATATATATATATATATATATATATATATATATATATATATATATATATATATATATTTGAAAGATAATATATATAAAAGATAATATTACACAAGAGTAATTACATAATACATATTCAAATTATTCATCATCATAATCTTCATTGTCTTCATCAGATCTGAAGTTATTGTCTTCAGACTCTCCTAGCTCTTCATGCTCTTCTTCCACGGGATTTGTTGACAACAAGATAGTTGTGTCAACTTGTTGACCCTCAACTTCAGTATCACACAAACTTATAATCTCCTCGGTTTCAATTACCTCATTAACAAGTGAAATCTCATCATCTTGGTATGCAACATCTTCTATTACTTCGTCAGTATCAATGTGACCCATTGGGTTGGACTTAATTAAAACACACCATCCTCGTTTGCATGGCGTAATTGAAGGATAAGGTACATAATAAACTTGCCTGACATTTTGTGCCATTATGAAATGGTCATACTCTTTGTACTTTCTATATATTTGAACCTCAACTGTGTTATATTTTTTTATCAATTTTTGTTCCTCTGGAAGATGGATCATACCAATCACAGTAAAACAAGACAACTTTATTTTCCGAGTCCATATAATTATAGACCAATTCGTAAATATGTGTGATAATCCCATAAAAGTCGTCCTCACCACCGTCTATAACTCCTTTTACGACTACACCACTGTTTATAGTTTTCTTCCCTTCACTCCAAATCTCAGTGTGAAATTTGTAACCGTTTATAAAGTATGTGTGCCATTCATTCACACGTTGACGAGGGCCTTCAGACAAACTTCTTAAATGTATTATTTTAGGACTTGGTGCAGCAATATATGATAATCGTTGCTTGAACCATGCTAGAAAATAGGCATGTGTGTAACCAATCGATGGTTGTTCGCCTGTACTTTGATAATAGTAGGTACTAAATTCCCTATTTTTTTTTTAAAATATATAGGTTAGAGAAGGTTACAAGTCTTAACCAATAAAACTATACTTAATCAAATATACTTACTCAATATATGGTTTAACTTCAACACAGTTAATCAACACATGAACATGGGCAGATTGCATTTCTTTTTGAGAAAGTCAATGCTCACCCGTCTTCCCTGAGGGACGGCCTGGACGACCGAAAACTGATAAGGTGAATTGACTTCTTTCACAGAAGTGAACTTCATTCCTTGTGATTCTTGGAGTCAACATCATGTGATTGAAATAATGAGAGCAAAAATGTGATGTTTCGCGATGTAAATAATATGCACAAATTAATCCCTCAACTCTTGCCTTATTTTTCACTGATCGCTTTGAATCACCCATGAATTGTTCAAATGGATACATCCATCTA